TGTAAAATAAGAATTTTTTTGGCACTTCACAATTACATCATTAATGATGCAAGAGAAAATGCCATTGATTTACTAGTTACTTAATTGATTTATGAAATTAAATTCAATTAACTCTTATTGAAATTAAAAAGTAAAAACAGATATTTAATTTTTTGGAAATTTTTAGAAATAATTTGGTTGTATTCTTTTAGAAATTTGAAAAAAAGGTTGTTTAATAAAGGATATGTTTCTACTGTATATAAGTGTGTTAATGAATGTAGGGTACAAAGTAAGTCTTTTTGACAATTTGGAAAAAAAATTAAAAAGTAAATTACACATTTGTTAATTAACTGGTTTATGTATAATTTTCCAAAATTTTAATAAAAAACTTTGGTAGTAGGAATATTGTGTTTTATTTACTTATTTTAATACAAATGAATTAAATTTATTATTCATTTTATAAAGTTTGTTAAATAATGTTTGATTCTTTGAGATGATATCATGCAATATACAGAAAAAAAAAATTTGTTACCTTTGTTATTAATTTTGATAAGTTTTCTATATATTTCTGTTACATTTTAATTATTATCCTTTTTTGTGAAATCACACACCCTGGAGAAACCATGTTTCCTTTTTTAATTAATTCCAAAAAAGGAAACCCTTTTTCTGAGTGTCATTACTGGAGCAAATGATTTAAAAACCTTTGCTCTTTTACATATAGATAACTAAGTAATGGAAACTAAAATGTGAACATGGCATTTTTCCTGTGGTGCATGTGGCATTTGATTTGCTAATTGGTAACAAAGTAAACAAGCACAGACTTTTTTCCTGTACAAACTTCTTTTCTTAATTATCATCCCATCTATAAAATATTGAATTTCCAGATTCATTTAGTACTTGTGAACTGCATTTTTTAAACTGGTTTCATTTCTTTATGATCATTTCTCTTCTGTTACAGGCAGTATTATATATATTGGAGCAAACAGCACAACCATATAAGAACATTTGGAAGCACCTATGGAAGAGAAATGGAAAACCATTCTTAAGACTTGAAAAGATTCATTTAGATCAGGCATGGCTAACATACGGCCCGCAGGCCAGATCCGGCCCATCTAATGAATTTATGTGGCCTGCGATCAATCTTTCAATATTAGGTACTGAAGTCCAAATAGCTTGATGAAAAAATTCTGATGCCTAAAAAATAGTCAACAACTCACTGTGCATTTAGAGTTAACCCACCATTACAAATCTCGTAAGTACAGCGTAGAGTGTTGATAAAGCATGATAATGTGAAAAATGTATTTGTAATCTCTATCTACAATTCAGTTTCTACGGGGTGACACCACAATGAGATCAACCACTTCAAAATCTTCCTAGGGCAGCTTCTGGTTCGGCCCGTGGAAAAAGTTCTCTTTCTAATTCGGCCTGAGGCAAAAACTGTTGGCCACCTCTGATTTAGATAAAGATTTCCTAATTTTGTAAAAAAAATTTGCTAAGAAGAAAATTGCTGTTTTAGGATGTTTGTTACATGATGCCTAAAGCAATGTGAATTTTTTTCCTCATCATTACAGATAATACCAAAAATCTATTGGCTGTTTTGAATGTTTCATAATAAAGATTAGTTGTTAGAATGACATATGTATTAAAATTTTTAAGAGTACAATAAACAGTCTACTGTGCACCACTTTAGATCTTGAACTATTAACAATTGTATTGAAATGATTAAATGTTATTAAAGCTTTATTAATTAATAATTCATCCAATATTGCCTGCTTCCAACTTCAATAAGAGCTAGAATAACCCCAGCAGTATTTTGAGCAAGTTGCAACCCAAAGTTTAAAGCAAGTAGTAGTAAATATGTTTTTGATTTTAAACAGTAAACAGATATTAGACATATTTTAATTAACAGAACTTAGTCTGCAATTGAAAGTGATTAAAATGTTCTAAATTGCATAAAATTGTTTAATTTTCATCTTTGCAATTCATGTATCAAATTTGAAAATATATAAATTAAATGCAATCATTCTTAAACTTCCATGATAAGAAGTATCAAAAATTTTTTGTTATTTATAAAGCATTGTAAGCAACTGAAGGAAACATGTTGAAATAGTAGAAATGATAGTTGGAACTGGTGTAATAAACATTTTACCTCAAAACAAATATATTTTTGATTAAAACAGTTAAAAACTAATAATATAAATCAAATGTTATCTAGAAAAAGTTTAAATANTATGCATTTTGAAGTTTTGAATACAGGCTTCAAGGATTAAAATAACAGAGTTTAAAGAAGTTAAAATAACCTTACATTAATTTACTTCAAGTGAATACAATTTGTGAAAAACTGAAATTTATATGAATCAAAGTTAGTTTCACTTTGATTTCATATAAATTTCATTTTTCACATATTTTATTTGCTTTAAAAATAACCTTTAGATCAAAATCAATTAGACTTTGATTCATATAATACATTTCTTGCACTTTTCCTCTTACATTATTATTAAAATGTCTTATATACAAAATAATTTAAACTAAACCTACAAAAAAATAATGATAAAAAGTAGAATAGAAATGTAAAAAAAAATTTAATGTTTTTAGGTAATAAAAAATAGTTTAATATAAACTTTAAAAATGTACAAATTAGCACCTTGTATAAGAGTTACTATTTGTTAAAATTATGTACCACTGCTGACTTTTTATCAATAAAAGCTTTTTAAAATGATATAGTGAGTTTGTATGCAAAGAAAATTTTCTCTGCGTATCACTTTTAATGTTTTTCATTAGTTCTGATTTATGCAATGGAAAAAGTTAATGCAAAATGGAACAAGCATTCTACATCACTGATGTTTAAATCTACAGTGCATTAATATCACAAAGTTATCCAACATATTTATGTTCCACTTTTGCATTAATTTTTTTCATTAGTTATGCCAGATATATTGAAATATATCTGGCATAACTAATGAAAATAAATAATTTTTAGCACATATATTAAAATATATGTGCTAAAAATGATACGTGTAAAAATTTTTTTCCATTGTATGAAACCAGAAAAATATTTCAAGTAATGAAATAAAAAAGTACAGTAGAACCCCTCTAATCTGTCACCTTTGGGACTGGGGGTATGGTCGGAATGCAAAAAAGGTCGGATTATCAGAAAAAAAGTAAAATAAACAATCTTCCCCTTTGTCCAGTCTTTGTAGCACTGCTAATTTTTCATTTAATGAAAGAGTAACGTGTTTACGTTTCACTCCTGACATGTTGTAAACACACACAAAACTGTACATGTACACACAATGTAAAACATATACTGTAACGAACACAGAAAAACGCCACAGTGAGTCACCGACGAGTCGGGACAAGTTTCTCGACTCCGACCACGGTCGGATTAAGCGGAGTGACGGACTAGCCAAGGGCGGACTAGTTACTAATATAATTTTATAATACAGTAAAACCCCAACTATCCAAAATCGAATTAACAGAGGTTCTGTATTATCCAAGACAAACTTTTAAGTGACCACTACTTTTATATAATTCTTAAGAAAAAAAAACTTTAAAACAATAATATGTATTAATACTACAAAATTTCTTTATCTTTTATCAATTAACTTCAATATGATACAAATCATTCATATTAAAATAAATTATAAAAACATACATATTTATCATTAAAACTATTGTACCATATTAGTTATACAATAAATGATGTAAAAACTAGTGAATTTAATTTATTATACAAGAACAATAAGTTTTGTATTTAAGTTTTTAATCTGAAATGGATGTGGTCACCCATTTTTATCAGTTTTAGTTATCTGAGGCAGCATCAATCCACATTCTTAGATAATCAGGGTTCTGTTGTATATATATTTTATTCAATTAGAATATTGATAGATAGTATGTAAAGTTTAACAAATGGAACATCATATTGATTTATTATAAAAAATACTAGCATAAAATAGCATAGTTTATAATAAAATCCTAAAATTCAGGATTATCAATGGTAATTTTTGAAATATTAAATGTTTAATTACATTTACGATTTCAAAATTATAGAGTTATAAAACATAGTATTATAGAATTTGTTAATAAAGTCCCAACGACTAATTTTGATTTTAATAAAAATGTGATTGTTATTTCTTCAATTTTAAAAGAATTTCAAAATGAATTAAACTTATTAATCCAGATAAACTGATCTTCTATGGAATCTAATCTTTAAAGGAAATTTAGTTGTAAACAAACATTTTAGATATCGATATCTACCGAAAGAATTTTTGTATCTATTTGAAATACCGAAGTTTATATATCGAGATTTTAAACCCAAGATTTTCCTAGATTAATTTGATTTCGTAATCACTTCTATATTACGACTTATTAGAACAGGAGAAACAAACAGATGGTACTTATCAACAGATGATAATTTTAGATTTTGGGAAAATCAAAATCAAATCACCTTTCTAATTATCTTGAGTTTATAAACAATAAACATTATAAAATGAAAATTTTACTTATCTTAATTGTATCTAAAAAAACTGAAAAGTAATTTAAATTTTTAAGGCCAATTATGTATTTTAAACATCATTTTCCTATTCTTTATATATATAAGTAACAATAATTATGAATTTTGTTAATTTTATATAAAGAATTGAATTTTTTAATGCCATTTAATAATAATAATTTAATTATTAAATGGCAACAACTCATTAATTATGGGATTAATTTTTGTTAATAGATCATATATTAATACTGTGTATACATGTATAATTTGTATGGTAATAAGTAATTTGTGTACAATGTGTAAAACAGTAAAGATAAACTTCAATTTGTATATAGCACGTATAATATTGAAAATAATACGTAGAAAAATAAGTATGTCGCATTTGAGAACTTTCGAATAATTCAAAAAAAAAAAAAAAAAACTTTTGGTCACGACTGAATTAATTCCGCGAAAGATTGCTCAATTCAACAGTTTTAATCTACAGTATTCATTCCATTATAGTCTTATATATTTAGTTCTTTAAACTTACCTGTAACGTTTATTAGGCAAATACTAAAAAACACGAAAAGAATTAAATTTCTGATCGCGAGTAACATTTTTTCAATTATATATTCGTAGATTTCCTTATCTACGTTCTTCTTACAATGGAAGTCAGCTGACGGAGTGATAAATTGATGCGAAGTACCTCTTTCTCTCGCTCTCCACTACTGCAACCTCAGCGCCAAAAGTGGTGATAAAATTATAACGAAATTTTATCAATTTTATTTTCACTACTTTCTATCATCAATAATAATCCTATATATTATTAAAAAATTTTTAAATTAATTTGGTAAAGTATAATCTTTGTTTTGTATTATTTATTTGAATACATCGCTAGCGAATTAGGGCTAATAATTTGTTTCACCATATGTAAATGTTAATGGAATACTACTACTAGCGACACCACAAAATTTAAAAATTTAAATAATAATAATAATAATTATTTACAATTAATAAACTTGAAATATTTTAAATATTAAATTGATGACTTTACCATTTTAAAAATTAATAATTTCAAATTAAACAGGGAAAAAAATCTGTACACCTGTACACCTTTAAATCTAGAAAATATTACCATTTTTAATAATGTATTTGACACGACATTCATATTAACTGTCAGCGACACGAAATATTGATTTATCGAGACGGGGAGATTTTTCTTCTCATAAATTATTCTCTCATGAGGGATACAAGATACAAGAAACTCCAATTTTCGATATCCTAGTCTGACAAGTAAATTACGTTGCACGCTAAGATATCTTTAATGTATAATCATAAAATATTGTAATGTTATATATATATATATATGCATGCTGAATTACTTTTTCAAAAATTTTACCTTTTCTTTTTATAGTTTCATCTACTTTTATGAGTTTCTTGACGACGTAAAACGGAAATTACAATTTTTCTAAGCCACCCACAGATTTATTAATGTACAAAATTACTGTAAAATTTAGGAATTTAGAGCAAGAAAATTTTAATGTAAATAAACACTATGTGAATTGTGTGTTCTATATCGGCTAAATAATAATATGAAATTTATTGTAGAGATAGATAAAAATGTAAGATAAAGCGCGTATCTACTCGAACATAACTATAATTTGTCATTTATGCAAATTGATCCAATGAAATTGCAACGAGAGCTTACTTTTCTAAATCATTAATGTCTAATTTTGCTAGTTTTTTTTCTTATATTTGGCAGCCTTAAAGTGTAACAATGTGTGACCGAAACTTCCTTTGTATCAAGATGTGAACGATACCATTAAAACAACAAGACACCAATAACAATTCAAGCTTGACGTATGACGTTTTTCTTGGTAATAATTTTATAGTTTTTTTTTCTGTTAATTATTATTAATTTGTTTTAATATTATTTTTCTAATAGTTTTCTAAAATATTTTAAATAAGCATTGCATTATCTTTTATATATTTATATTTTGCAGATTATGTATAAAAAAAAAACATTAATATTTAAACAAAAATAAATAAAAAAATGGAAAAAAATTATGGGTGAAAAAGCTAAGAAAGTAAGTCTAATAACCATAATTAATTATTATTTTTAGGCTGTAATTTGAAAAAAAATTGTAGATTTATAAATTTCCAAGTCGTCCGTTTGTTTGTCTGTCTATCTTTCCCTAATCTCGAAAATGGTGTTAGATGACCAGCATGAATCTATTGCTAACGGAAAAGTATGATGTACAGGGGTAAGACGTTGCTAATTTGAGGTGGGGAACATATATTTTAAATTTAAAAAATTATTAAAAATATGATTAAAAGTTTCAGCCCGGCATTGTGACGATGTCACAATACATAATTGCTCTTTTTATATTAGGTTCTTTTCGCTTTGTGGTGATTAAGAGGACTTTTTTACACGGTTTTAGTGAATTTGACCAGGCTCACGGTAAATATTCATTGAGAGTTGCCCACCTAGATTCAATTCCGGGTCTTCCAGACGGTAGTCTGATGTCTTAATCGACTGTGGCATATGTTGTTATATACGTTAATTAAGTGTCTAATATTTACTATAACATCATTATAATAAGAGACGGGGGATAGCGAAGACGGTTAAAACGTTAATTTACATTTAAAGAAAAAAAAACTCTATCGTCTCAGTTGTGGACTGGCCGAACTCATGTATGGGGGAAAAAGCTCTCTAAATGCTCAAATGGTAGAAAAAGTGAAGTAAAATAGTAATAATAATAATAACAATAATAATGTGTAGATATTACTAACATTAATATAATAAATATGATTATGAAATTTAAAACTTTCATATATTTTTTATTTTACTCTTCCTGCTCTGTGTATATAACCGGACCTATTAATCATATTAATCGTGGGTTAGTCCGGGACTACAATGGGGTGCCCGAGTGGTGAGGGCATATCCATAGAAAAGGAAGGGGAGCTGGAGATTTTTTCCGGGCTTGAACAAAACTTAGGAGCCCATACTGACCCTTACCCATATAAAAAAATGTTATTTTACTAACAAAAAATAAAATTTTTAAAACTGCTTGTTATATTAATAAAGAAACATTATACATAATTGATTCGTTTAAAAATAAATCGCAAAAGGTGTCTTTTAAGGGTAAGAGTCCGCTCTACCCCGGGCCCCGTACAAATTCTCGACGCCCCTGGTTAGGGACGGGCCCGATAAATTCGAATCAGGCCACTCCCGAAAAATTCCTGGGGGTTTTTCAATCCCTTCGAATTCGTTTCCGGATCGCCCAGAGCGATAGGTTGATACTTAAATCACATGAACATCGGGCTGTCAAATCTATACAGTTAGTATGCGAATACAATGTTACATTGTCATAGTATATGGTAAGTGATTAAAATTCATGGTAAAATTAGTGAATTCGCAAACGTAATATGTCCCTGTTATGAATATATTACATTTTAAAAGTTCTTGAAGATTATTCTCTGTTAAGTATGAAGGAAATTGTATCTAGTGCAACTTTGAATGATTATAAACGTTTAAATAACTACGGACTACGGTAAATTTCAAGTTATAGTTATATTGATTAAAAATAGACACTGATTATTCATATGCCAAGATTATATTTAAGTCGATTTCTTGTGATTATTTCTTCAATTCTCGGAATATTGCTCATGTTTTAAGTATGCTTCAAAAATTCATTTAAATAAAAATAAACTCATTTCAGAGAAATTCGGGTGATTTTCCTTTCTTAGAATTTACTTTAAAAAGCAACATGTAGCAGGTAATAATATATAATATGAATAAAATATAGTCACTGCATGATTATATCATGTTAAGTCGCATAATTTGCTCTTAATTTGAAATATAAATCAATATGTTAAATTTGAATTACACAATTATTCTTAACATAAGAATATGTATAGGCTTAATCATGTTGTAACATGATGCATATTGTTAAGAATAGATCCATAACACGATATTTTCTTGCAAATTATTAAAACTTCGAGAGCTTCAGCAAAATATGCTGTGTGTCCGTAAAGTCCGTGTGCAATTTAAAATATTTATAACTTTATTAGTATTTGTGATAGAGAAATTATGTAGAATATATTGGAAATAAGAAAAATATATATTTTTAATTATTCTATTTTATTTTATTAGTTTCCACATGTCCATCATCATTAGTAATACAAAGGGTGATACGATTTTGTAGTTCTCTAAAAACATTTGCCAATTGATTTACAGTAATCATATTAGTTATTTTAACTTTCAAGTCTTCTAAGGATCGAGTTTTGGTTGCATACACTATTGTTTTCACATGTCTCAATAAAAAAAAACTCCAATGGAGTCAAGTCTGGGGAACGTTGATGGCAAAGAAAAGAAAAAATCCACCTCTTCCAATCTCTAAAAACATTTGTTACTAAATAATTTTACTTAAAACTAAGCATATTAAGCTTTCTAATACTTTTACAGATTTGTTTTCTATCACAAATACTAATAAAGTTATAAATTTTTTAAAATTTCACACGGACTTTATGGACACCCTGTGTATATTTTTAACTTTTTTTCCCTGTGGGTATTAAAGATGACCTTTACCATGTCTCCTGGGCGGATCCATCGGGAATCTGGCCAGGGATGATTGCATGGTGAGAACAGGGCCCAATATATCAGGTCATCTCATCCCGATTAATTCTTGGAGTTTATCGATTGGCCGGATTCGATCCCGGGTCCCAGAGCAATAGGCTAAAGTCATAGGCGGGGTGGTCGAGCAGCTAAATAACTAAGGTGGCGGTACACCTGTTTGGAGAATCTGGGATCGAATCCGAAGGGTCGTAAAAACCCCAGGAAGTTTTCGAGGTGGCCCATCCTGATATATCGGGCTCATACTTTACTGTCCTACTCTGAGCTAGCGAACCTATAATGAGTTTGCTGAAATAACCTTTTTAGTATCAGCAGGGCGAAAACAGTTTAAACAAAAAAAAAAAAAAAAATGGTAAGCCAGTGGCGGATTACACTATGCGTGCGCCTAGGGCCTGGTCGCCTTGAGAGGAACTCAAAAGTTACATAGTAAAAAGATAATGTCTAAAAATTTAATGAACGTTTAGAAAGTGTATACAGTATTTCGCACATCGGCAAGAACAGTAACAACACATAAATTGACGATTTTATTGTCTTTTTTATATAAAAAAGAAAACACTTGTACATAAGAGCCTTATAACAAAATTGCGCCTAGCCATTAAAGAAATAGAATTCGCTAATGAGATTAGGCTATATTTTTGTCCTTTTTTAAATAAGAGGGCCTTTATAATACTCATATAATTCGCTCAGGATTAATATTAAGACTATCACAATAGACTAATCAAACAAAGAGGAACACGAAAATTTCAGTAATGAGAATTTCTGACGACTCGAATTCGGATCCCATAGCACAAAAGTCGAAGCCCTTGTTGCATCTGTTATCGTGTTGCCCGTTATTATATTTTAATTATTCTATTAACAACATTTTCATAGATGTGTTATTTTGTTATAATAGAATAAGGAGAAATGAATGTCGAAATATGATTTAAAAAACCGCTGTCGTTTTATGTAAATTTTAAAATAAAGATTTAATGAAAAAGTCAATCAATTCTAAATTTATAAAACGTATTGTGTAAATTAAAAAAAAATGCCCTTAAAAGAAATTACCACATGTCATTATACTGTATAAAGAAGGCGGATCAGACCTTGTCAGTGCAAACACTGGAACATATTACTTACAAGGGAGAAATTGGTAAACACTCTATAAAAGCCATGATCGACCGAACGTATTAACAATTAGTTACAATGCTATCCACACTGATATGTCTATTATTATTATTATTCAGTGCGGTTAAAGTACTACAAATTTAAATATTATTTCTAATTCTAATGTTTGTATAATATCTAGTTTTATCAATATTTATTCTTCAATTATTATTGCAGACAGAAGACAAGAAATGCAAGTCACAGAAAGATTGCGAGAAAGATGAATGTTGTACCAGAAGATTTACATTTGATAGCGCTTATTGTAAAAAACGATTAGATGAAAGTAAGTATTTAAAAAGAAATTTTATAATATAATATTTTAAATATATTGTTAAATCCATGTTTTAATTTTTTTTTCTATTTTAGAAAGCAATTGTTTACCTTATCTGCCTATGAGGATATTCGATGATATCTATATGCTTTCTTGTCCTTGTAAAGAAGGTCTTTATTGCAGACACAGTTTGATTAATAAGGACGGCAGGGTGAGTTAAATATTAATGAATTTAATTAATATCAAAGTCTTTAAAAAGCAATGATCGATTAGTTATTGTCAATCACAATGGACAGTTATATTTATTCCTATTTACAGTAAGATATTGATAAGTACTTTAATTAATTAAAGTAATTTTCTATAAATCGAATTTCTAAAATTTTATATCCGCACTTCTTTCATAGATTATAATTTCGTACCATCCTCGATGTTTTCCTTCTGAAAACCGTAATCCAGATGCAGAGTCTCCAGCGGAGCCGGAAAATTCAAATGGAAAAGGGGGAAATGATGAATCGGGTGGAGAAAATACGACTTCTAATGAATCTGAGAAAGGAGGAAATGGTGGAGGCGATAAAGATGCTAATCCCAAAAATCCTGAGGAAAAAGGTAAAGATGACGGTTCAAAGGACTCTGGAAAAGGTGAAGATGAGAGTTCCAAGGATTCTGGAAAAGGTGAAGATGAGGGTTCCAAGGATTCTGGAAAAGGTGAAGATGAGGGTTCCAAGGATTCTGGAAAAGGTGAAGATGAGAGTTCCAAGGATTCTGGAAAAGGTGAAGATGAGGGTTCCAAGGATTCTGGAAAAGGTGAAGATGAGGGTTCCAAGGATTCTGGAAAAGGTGAAGATGAGGGTTCCAAGGATTCTGGAAAAGATGAAGATGAGGGTTCCAAAGATTCTGAAAAAGGAGAAGGCAGTAACGGTTCTAATGAACCAGAAGGAAAAGATGGCGGAAATGATTCTGGTGGAACTGAAGTAGAAGGATCTAATGGTTCAGAAAGTGATACGGGAGAAGAATCTGGTGTAATTTCGCCGAGAAACAATTAATACTAAATAAATAAACTGCTAATAACATATATATTAAGTGACAAATGATTAGAATCGTTAACCTGAAAAGACAATTTAAGAAAATTTATTAAAATTAAAAAAAAAACATTTAACATTATGATTGTTTCTCATATTAAGTAAATTATTGAAATTGTTTTCAACAAACTTTTATAAAGATATTGTTTAGAATAAACTAAATACGAAAGTTTATACGTTGACTTTTGGTTTTAATTACTGTATTTATTCTTTCTGGAGCATGTTTAATACATTATATTGCTTGAATTTTGATTTCTGCATCTGAATGCTGCATATAAGTCAGTTTTCTGTAACTTATATTTTCATTATAAAAAGAAATATTTTTAGAGAATATATTACAAGTTCCAAAACACTTTCAATAAATTTATATCTAATAGATTCTGGCCATGGTAAAACAAGTTCTAAAAACTGGTAAAATCCATCAATATCAATTCATAAAAATAAAAAAATAATAATAATACCTCTCATTACATTAATACCAATTGTAATCTAAAATACCACTTAATAAAACCATTTAGTAGTAATATAAATATGGTAATTGAAAATTAAAAAAAATAAATATTGAACATATAATAGAACATAAAATTACAGAGTAAAGTTACTACCGTATAAAAATTTTAGAACTTTCTGTTCAGAAATAAAGAAATTTTTTCTTTAAACGTTACAACAGCGAATCGAAATTTCATACCTTTATTTCAATTGACGGTATTGCGTTAATTTATATAAAGGTGTGAAATTTCGAATTTGCAGAAACTTTTAAATGAGGAGACATTACTAAAAACCAATAAATAAACGACTTTTAATATGAAAAAGAAACATAAATCATAATTGATCTGTCCTCCTGTTTTGCTTATTTAGATCTTGACCAATTTATTGTTTCACCTGCAGTGGTAGTATTTTCAAGGAGAATGATGGAAATAAAATATCATATTTCGTTGCAAAAAGAAATACAATGACAATTGATATTTAAAAATTTTTGGTCTCCAAATTTGGAGACCAAAAGAAACTCGATAACACGAAGTGTGATATAACGAGGATTTAATATATTTATAAAATATTTAAATTTATTACAAAATTTATGATTTATAAAGCTTTAAAATATTATACATTAAAGAATAATGCCTTTATTTTTATCTTTATATATCTACAATACAAACAAGTTATACACTACTACACAATAGCATTCTTCAAATGAGTATTTATGTCAAGAATGTTGGACCTCTTACGTAAAATTTATTAAATATTCCTTTCAGAAAAATATCAGAAAATAAAAATTTTTAACTTTAGAATAACATTTTAAATTAAAATATAAAATTTTATTTACATAATTATAAATATAAATACCATTTATAAATCAAATAATAGAAATTTAATGCTCACATTATATATCTTAAATGATTAATAATAATAACGCATTTGATTTATTATTAGACATTGTAAAAATGATAATACGTTAACCTTAGATATTTTTGTAAACTGACAACATGAGAAATTTATTCATTCATATCCTTGTTTTGTATATTAACAATAATGACAGAAGTTATATTAATTCATGAAATAGTTGAAGTACAGACTCACTACAAAGTGAATTTTTTTTATGACTCTAAAAAAGCAGTCGACTATTTATTTCTTTGTTATTTTTAGCACATTCTCATTCACCTTCAGATTTATTCTTTTTTTTTATTTTAACTTTTTAACTATAGAAATCTACTAAGCATACGAATATATACGTAAATACAGAAGATATTTAATTACATTAAATATAAAATTTCATAAATTATATATTTAAAATTTTATTTATTTTAAATTAAACTTTATAAAAATCTAGTTTAATTTCTATATTTGTGTGATAAAAGTACTTATCTAAATCAGTGTTTTAAGGGTGTATACAACTTATAAATTACATCATAAAAATTGCAAAACAAACAACAGTTGAAAGCCCTTATTCATAAAAAGTTTTATTGTTATTTTTAGAGCGCGCTATTCTGTTAAAAAAAACAAAACAAAAAAAAAAGAAAACAGAAAATTTAGATAATAAATGTTTACTTTCAAATATTATTATTTAGAAATTAATAAAAGAGATTTTTATTATTTTGCGCCGAAAATTATTCCTTATTTGTTGAATAGAAAGTAGGACTAGAAATGGATGACCTAACTCATAGTAATAAACAATAGAAGAAATCACTAAATTATAAATGATTAAAAAATTATTTTATATATATATAAAAAAAAATTGAA